ACCTAAGACCATTTAAAATAAAATATACATTTAAGCAAAATAATAATGTAGCATTAAGCTATATTTCAGCTGGGAACTATTTTAAAATGCTGAATTGAGAATCTTAACTAAAGCTAAAGTTATTACTTATGTTCTGGTTTTTTACTTGTGATTAAAATATTTTTTACTATAATTCCATGTTTCAAAAATTAGGTCAGTTATATATCGTGTGCATGTACTATGTGTAAAGCATTGGATGGTAGATGGAAAGGTAAGGGATGTAGCAATGATTAGGGCTTCTGTTTCCCTTGGTATGACAGACTAGCAACCCTAATCAGCCCTCCCTCAGAAAGCAACTTTATAAGTATAGAATACATCAACTATGTATTTTGAAATAACCTGTTTCCTAGCCTACTGATTATTTTTCTTCTGTTCTGCTAGTGATACCTTCCATCACAGGATTTCTGTTTAATTTCTTTAAAATTCAATTTGTTAAGATTCTTTATTACAGCACTGAATGATTTTATTGTTTTATTGAAGTTCATTGAATTCTAAGAGTTCACAGATACTGATTAATATATGGTCAGTCTCTGGTGCTTTATTTTATCAGAAAATGAGATCATGATTCTCTGAAAGTTCTTGACATTTGTTAGCATATAATGAAGTCTCTGTGTTAGAGGATTAGGTGTTTATTCTAGTTTTCATAATCTGGCTTTCTTTGGGCCTGCCCCCCTAAAAATTAAAAGCAGTCTGCTTATTTTCTCTAAGCCTGTGGACCTTTCTGCAGTTTCATCACTAGATGGCATTCTAAGTCCAGGTTTGCTAGAAATATACTGTTGTTATTTCAAGGCTAGAGGGGTCCCCAAGCCTACTTTTGCCCCACATCTACAGTAGGTATTTGGCTAAATGAACTGGAAGAGTGACTAAATAGGAAAGTCTGCAAGCCTCCATCTGGGACTGGAGTAGACCCAGATGCTTCATCTAGTCACAAGCCTGAGATCAGATACTGCAGGATTCTTCTGGGTTCTGGCATCATCACAGAAGGACTGGCTCTAGGATCTTATGCAACAACTTGAATGCCTGCCTCTCTCTTCTTGCCCAAAGTGGACAGTTGCTCTTTGTGTTATACTGTCAGGGAGGAATGGAGTGGGAAGTCCCATGGCATCAACACTGAAACACTGAGTCATACTCTGAGCCCACCAAGACCAGTACAGCACAGGTACCTACACTAGTATAGTCTGTCTGCCCAGACTTTACCCCCAGCCATGGATAATGCTGACTGAAATAGAAGTATCATAAACTATTGTTATGCTCAAATTCGGGACCCCCAAAAGATCACCAGAGACCAAGATTGATGTAAGCAACAAAGAGGTGTTTATTGCTAGCTAGCTCGGTCCTCTTCGCGCACACAGCAACTGGTGATGCTGAGAGACCCCGAGCCCAAGGTTTGCAGCAGTTTTATATGCTCTTTGGAGAAGGCAGGGACCCCCACATACATCATAGCATCTCTTAGCAAATCATCACACACCGCGGGAAAATCAAATAACAACTCTAAAACATGATTAGCACATTTACTGGCAGCAACATGTTGGGTAGGGGTGATTGGTTACTACAAGAGGGGGATTCATTTGAACTGATTAGTTTAAGCCAAAAGGGGTGTTCGTGCTGAGCTACATGGTTTCCCAACACCATAAACTACTGGGAGGGTCATCTGGCATCCCAGGTATTTCCCTGTCTCATGCTGATTGGTGGCTGCTAGGGGGTTGCTATGGGTCCCCACCTAGCCTGACTGAGTCAGGGACACCTGGCACAGGAGATCTCTCCTGTATTTGTAGATAAACAACTTAGCATGGTGGGAATGTGCCTAGGAGTGCTCTGTGGGTCTTTTCAAGGACAAAGGTCATGTCCCTTCCTTGGAGAGGCTTTGCTTTGAGGTAGAGGCTGGTTTTTCATTATGGTACCAGGACAGGTACAGATACTCCATTCTAAGGCACTGCTTGAGAACAGGGACCATTAGAATCTACCCAGTGTTAGGCATCATCGACCTGGCACTGAATTCCAAGGCAGTCCTGTGCTCACTTTCCTGTTTTACTCACCAATGGAATGAGTGTTGCTCCTTGCTGTGCTGCCCAAGTTTGGGGGAAGGGTGGTAAAGATAATTTCCTTACTTGCCCAGGCTGTGCTAAGCTGTTCACACCTAAGTCTCGCAGCTGTAAAGACCAGTACTGACTCAAGGATGTACACCAGACCTATACAGAATTTGGCAGTGATGCATGCTGAAATACAAGTCTGTCCTACCAGAGTATAGGTCTTTACTTGATGTCAGGCAGGTATAGAAGCTTCATCTACAAGTTGTAGACTGAGAACATGGACTTCGGGCTCCATCATGGTAGTCTTGGCTCTGGGCTCCAGTGCAAGTCTAAGCTCACTTTCCTGCCCAGTTCCCTAGTTGGCAGAGTATTGCTTCTCACTCTGCTGCCTCATGTTGGCAGAAAAATAGTGGAGGCAATCAGCTACCTTGCTAAGGAATATCTAGAGGCTTAGTCTGTAAGTACTGCCTGTGGACAGGAACTATGGGACTCTATGAGGCACTGGATTTCAGTATAGTGGTCCTGGTTTCAAGTCTAAGGTCTTGCTTAATTCCTTCTCACTCCCCCAAGTGGGCAGTGTCTCTTTCTATGCCATACTGCTTGGTGTTGTGGGAGTGGTGACATGAGTTATTCTTTCCTGACTTCTTATTTGCAATTTTTATTCTTATTTTTATACTAAAACCAGACATTGTATTCTCTCACCTGCCTTCCTTAGTTCTTGTGAGGTAGTTTGATCTGTGGATAGCTGTAGTGTCTCAGAGAGGAGAGGATCAATGAGCATCTTAGCCACCATCTTGTTCTCAATGTCTATTGTACTTAATCATAACAGCCACTCTATAAGATACCTAGATAATCCCCATTCTCAAAGAAACCGAAACTCTTAAAGAGCTAAGTAACTTCCCTAAAATTTCCCAACTCAAAATAACTTGTCTTCCTCGTTATAGAGTCTATAACGTTTTTCCCACATACTATATTATTTTCCTGCATTTAAAATTAATAGCTTGTACCATGGATGAATGCCGCAGTCTGGCTGGGCACAAATCACGAGCCAATAAAGCAGGAACAAACTTTATTTCTGAACTCCACCAGCACACTCCACACACGCTCCCCGGGAACTTTCCCGAAAGCCATGCGGCTCCTCCAGGAACCACCAACCGGAACTCCCTCTTCCGGTACTTCCCCAACCAATGCAAACTCTCCAGGAATCCCCACGAGAACTCTAAAGTAGCGCGAGAACTCCAAAGTAGCACGAGAACTCCGAAGTAGCGGGCTCAGGCGGATAGTAATGGCTCGCCTCTCAACCAATACTGTTGGCAGAATGCCAGGGGCCATTACGACTCAGCTGTGGCTCTCAGCATCTCTCCCTTTCTGTTTAATTAAACAACAAGCAATGTGGCTTAGGAACCGTGTCTGTTAGGTTGTCCAATACTACATATGGTCCTTTTCCTAACAACATATCTAGATTTCTTTGAGGGTAACCGGCTGTTGCATTTCGCCTAGCTGTCTCCGTGCAAAATTTCTCATTGGTAACCTTCCATAACAAATATTGCCCTCCTTTTAGCACAGCTTTACACATGCTAGCCCAGTCTGCTGGCGTCATGTCCAAGTTGGTAATGGATTCAACCATGCTTACAGTGAAGGGTGCTTGAGGACCATAGGTTGTTACAGCCTCCTTTAACTGCTTCACTGTTTTGAAATCTAAAGCACGGTGAATTCGCTGCCCTCCTGTCTGCTCAAGTACAGGGCATGCTAATCTTTGAGGTCCTGTCTCAGGCTCCCATCTATCAACTACAGGGGTTGAGGGCCACTCAGCTGTCTCCATAGGTGGAGCTGTTGGTTGAATTATGCCCTCTGGTGATAGAACAGAGTTAGTAGCAGCCTCCTGTTGTAGCTTCCCCCCTGATAGCTGTTTCTCCTTTAAGCTTTCTTCCTTTAAATTTTCTTCCTCTGTCTGACTAGCTCGAGAGACCTTCTCTTTTGCTTGATCTAACATGTTTTCTACCATAGTCTGGACCTCTAACAATTTGCTTAACACTCTTTCAGTTTGTTTTTTACTAATTTCTAATCTACTATAAAGATAACGCAACCCAACAAGATAACACAAAACAAAACCGAAACAGAATGAAACAAAAACGGAACAAAAAATCAAGAACATATTGTTTTTTGAAATGGTCACCCATTCTCTCACCTTCCCTCAGGGGCGAGCAATTTCACTTACCTTTGAGCTTCAGGCGTTCCCCGCACGGGCCGCCAAATGCCGCAGTCTGGCTGGGCGCAAATCATGAGCCACTGAAACAGGAACAAACTTTATTTCTGAACTCCACCAGCACACTCCACACACGCTCCCCGGGAACTCTCCCGAACGCCACGCGGCTCCTCCAGGAACCACCAACTGGAACTCCCTCTTCGGGCACTTCCCCAACCAATGCGAACTCTCCAGGAATCCCCACGAAAACTCCAAAGTAGCGGGCCCAGGCGAATAGTAATGGCTCGCCTCTCAACCGATACTGTTGACAAAATGCCAGGGGCCATTCCGACTCAGCTGTAGCTCTCAGCAGATGAATACATATCTATCCAATATAAAAATATGTTGTTTGTTCTTGACAGTTAGTGCTTTGCTGTAAGAACGGTGTCTGAGGTATTGTTATATAGCTCATCTTTAGGAATTCATAATTCTCTAGATTTTCACCCTACCCCAAAATTAGACTTGATTGAATAAATATTAGAACTTCTGAAAGGGTATATAGGTATGACTATTATAGTGTACATGTATGTATTTCTGTTTTTAAAGTATAAGATAATTATAATTTTTACCTCTGAGCCCAGTTTCTATATAATTATGATAAAGTTATTGTTCTGAAATTTATTTACTGAAAAGAATTTAACAATTACATTGTCTTCATGTGAAACTTTTTAATCTTTTATATTTAGGGTATCTTCATTGTAATGAATACGATAGACTGAGACTGAGGTGGCTGAGGCAGACATTAGAATCTTTCATCCCACAACCTTTGATAAATGTAATTAAAGTGTCTGAATCAGATGGCAGAGAAATAGGAGATGCTCAGCCTGAAACATTTGACAAGGTACTTTTATTACATTATGACAAACTGATAGACTCCCAATACCAAAATTTAGTTGCTTTGTTATTGTGATTTTCCTTCTGTTCCCAGATATAGCCCAGTACATTTTCTCAGCACTCTGGGAAATTTTGATAAAGTGAACATGGGTGCACTTTTAATTTGATGGTCAACAAAGTTCACAGGAAACAGAAACATTGGGTTTGGGGATTATAGGATGTTTTATATTTCCAGGTACCTGAAGAATATGCAGGAAAAGATCAGATATTATTTGGATTAATCCATAGACATGTCTACTGGACAGCTTTAATATAATAGTAACATATCAGAGTATGAGAATTGAAGAAAAAAGGTTATTTCAGTAAACTGAAATTGAAATGTTCTTAAAAATAAGTGCAGAGAATTCAGAAATACAGCAGTGTCTGTTTAAAATGAGTATCTATTTTAAGTTTTTGCTGTGGTCATCAAGAATATTAAATGTCATTAATAGACATTAGTAGACTTTAAGAAGACTCCCATCTTGCATTTCCCCCAACAAAACAAACAAAACCCAAATACTGAAACCACATAGGAAAAATTTTTGAAACATATTAATGAGAAAAGATTATAAAGAACTTATCACATATATTTTTTATTCCAAAGAAATTTTTTTTTTTTTACTTACTGTTTGTTATGTAGCTTTTCTAAAAACTTCTTGCCTGACAGCATATTTGCATTGTTTGCCTTTCTCTGTTGTAGGTGTTGGTTGATGCTCCATGTTCAAATGATCGAAGTTGGTTATTCTCTTCTGATCCTCAAAAGGCAACCTGTAGGATACATCAAAGGAGGAATTTGCCTGTTCTACAGATGGAACTCTTAAGGTGAGCACTGTTAATACAAAAGTGTATTTGAGTTTCTAGCATAATGTACATGGGCGTGACAAAGCATGTCAAGCTGTCAAATGAAATACTTTCTATGTAGGTATCCATGATTAATGCCTTTGAATTCCCAACCTCTTCCTTTTTTGCTCTCATGCTATGACTTCTAACTCCTAGTGAAATGCAATTATCATATACATTGTCCATTAAAGGGTACAGATGATTTTCCGTGGTTCAAAGTTGTTTACTGGGACTGTCCCAAGCCTAAGGTTCATCATCCTTTTATCAGAATCTGATCAGTCCTCTTACAGGAGTAACTTTGGACCAGGATGCAAATTTTGGTAATCTTCTAGGTGAGTCAGCTAGTGCAGAGAATTCAGAAATACAGCAGTGTCTGTTTAAAATGAGTAACTATTTTAAGTTTTTGCTGTGGTCATCAAGAATATTAAATGTCTAATATTTAATATTATATTCCTAAAGAATATTATCTTCTTTAGGAAATTATAACTAGTTTTCACACATCTGCCTTCTAAGATGTTTTCCAGAAGTAACTGGCCACCAAGAGGTAGGGGGGCATGGGGTTATTAATGATGGTGGAATGTGATGATCCTTATTGTCCAAAGTAAAGGTATGAAGACACGAATTGGTGTGAATATACTGTGTATACAGCCAGAGATATGAATAATTGTGCTCTATATGTGTAATAAGAATTATAATGCATTCTGTTGTCATATATAAATAAAAAATTTTAAAAAAGAGGTATTTGGTTTCCTGCATTGATCAGAGGCATTAGGGACATCCTTAATGCCATCCATCTAGTTCCAAAGAGACTTTTTTTTTTTTTTTTTTTTGGTATCAGGGATTGAATCCAAGGGCACTTAACCACTGAGCCACATTCCCAAGCCTTTTTTATATTTTTTATTTAGATACTGAGAGTTTAACTTGCTTAAGGCCTTGCCAAGTTGCTAAGGCTGGCTTTGAACTTGTAATTCTCCTGTCTCAGCCTTCTAAGCCACTGGGATGCCAAGAGATTTTTACTTATACACTTTTCCCAATTAATGCCAATTTTTTAATGCTTGTATTAGTCCATTGTTCTATTGCCATAACAAATTACCCAAGGATGGTAATTTTATAAAGAAAAGCTTTTATAGCTCTCAGTTCAAGAGCATGATGCCATATCTGTTCAGCTCTGGTTGAGTGCCTTTTGGCTGTATTATATCATGTAGCAAATTGTCTCATGGTGGCAGTATATACAAAAGGGATAGATCACAGAGTAAGATTAGAAGTCAGAGGGATTTAGGGGGCAGGAATTTTTATTTTTTATTTATTTTTTAATAAAACTCACTCTTTCAGGAACTAACCAGGATTCTGAAATAACTACATTAATCCCTTCTGAGGATGGGATGTAAAAACTTTTCACAATGTCCCATTTCAGAAAGGTTCCACTACCTCCCTGCCACTACACTAGCTTTCAGCATATAGACCTTTGGAGAACACAAACAATATCCAAACTATGATAATGCTTGAAAAAAAAATCTAGAATATTTAAAATAAAACTGTGCCCTATCACTCATTACCACTTACATGTAGAATTTCAGTGAGTCACGGTATGAACTTCTGATAGTGTGCTTAATTTCCAACAATGAATATATACCCTTATCTTAAACATCATGACCAACACTAATGCATACTTTTGTTCTTGCTCATATTATGCACTGGCTCAGAATTATATAGTAGTACTTACCAGAAAGAAGGTTTTTCTGAATATTTTTAATCTGGCAGTTAGATCATTGTAAAGAAATCAAAAGGAGACAGAAGCAAGGTACAAAGGCAGAATGGCTCCTCATCCAACCTGCCAACTTTATTTATACTAATAGGTTACATTCGGTCACTGTACATTATTGTTTATTATATCGTCAAGTAGGTTACGGCAGGTTATAATGTAAGATTTTTTGTTTATGGTTAGATATGTGTTCTGGCTAAGCATGCATTGGTTATCCTAAGAGTGCCTGGGAAAAACTGCAGAATATTCCAGCCATCGGAAACAGGGCACCTTTTACTCCCTGGAAATATACTGGAAACACTATCCTATATATTCCCACGATCAGAACCCCCCACTATCAGAACCCTTGCAGACCATTTGTTTGAATGCTTCCAATGTCTGTCATTTATATACTATGACTCTTAAGACATTTTGAAAACTCTTTATTCTCTTTCCTTTTTACTGACTGGGTTATTAGCTTTAAAATATTGTTTAGATCTTTCTCATATAATTTTCTAGTTCAATTTATTAATTAAATATTCCTGCTCCTCAGGCCTTGCCCTTGATGTCCCTTAAACTTTATGACAGATAACAAATTTTGTGGTGCCACATTAATACCATGACTATGTTATTAAGAGTTTTGTGGCTGTGACCCAAATACCTGACAGGAAAACTTAAAAGAAGAAAAGTTTATTTTGGGTTCAGAGTTTCAGAATTGAATTTGTGGTCAGCTCACTCCATTGCTGTGAACCTGAGGTGAGACAGAACATCATGATGGAAGAGCCTGATTGATGATAGTTGCTCAGCTCATGAGAGCCAGGATACAGAGATAAATCAGGGTGCCAGGAACAAAATATAATCCCCAAGAACACACCCCCAGTGACTTACTTCATCCAACCATGCACCACCTATCTACAGTTACCACCTAGCAGTGCATTGAAATTATCAATTCATCAAATGGATTAACTCACTTCTGAGGTTACAATTCGCTGAACCTTGTTGTATTGGGGACTGTACTTCTAAAACATGAGTTTTTCAGGGAATATTTCTAGACACAAACCATAACATTTTACCCCTGGTCTGCAAAAGCTCTTTTCCATCTCACAGTGCAAAATGCTTTCAGTTGATCTCTAAGAGTTCTTATAACAATTCCAACATTGTTCAAAGCCTAAATCCAAAGGCCCCTCCAGTACCAAAGGCAAATAACTTTTAATTGTTTCTGTAAAAATCAAAGGCAAATTACATATGTCCAATATATAATAACACAGAATGAACATTTTCATTTTAAAAGGGAGGAATGTTGGCATAGAAAGAAGGAATGGGACCAAACCAACACCAGACAGCCAGGAAAACATTAGATACTGCAGCTCTGCATTTGGGATCTGGGGCATCACTTGTACTAGTGTGATATGGGCCCCAAAGGAATTGGACAGCTCTACCCCTTTGACCTTACTGATTGAGCCCATGTGGACTCTTTCTTTGTCTGGTTCTGCTCACTTCCTGTCGTTTTTCTCAGCAGATGTTCCACATTCCTGGCATCTCTTAATCCTGGGGTCTCCATGCAGCTTTGGCATTACTTTCCCTGCTTCAGACATCGCCCTCTCAGGTGCTGCCTACAGGGATTCGGCCCTGACACACTTTGCTTGACATCATAGGTTTTCTGTTGGAATCTCAGTGGAAACTTTGTGACTCCCTAACTTCAGCATCTTGCATTCCTGTAAAACCAGCATCACATGATAGATGTCAAAGTCTATCACTAGTTGGCACAGTAGCCAGGCCCATTTGGACCATGGCTGCTGCAGCATCCAAGCACTTGAATGGCCAAGCACTGTGAAAGGAATCCTGAGGAAACTTCCTAGGTATTCTGTGTAAAAACTTCCTAGGTATTCCTGTATAAATAGGGTACCCCTGGGGTCTTGTTAAACAGTTTACATTTTAACACCCTTGAACCTGCAATGGGTGTGATCTTGTTGATTCCTGAGATGCCATCAAGACATCTTTTCTATTGTCCATACAAAGTAGTTAGCTTCTGTTCAGTAGTGGCAAGCTTCAGCAATCACATGTACAGGCCAAACTGCAAGTTTAAAAAATCTTTCCTCTATGCCTTTTGCTCCTGATTATCACACTAAAGCTGGCTAAAAGCTGCAAGCAATACTCATGCCATTGCCAGAATGCTGCTGTTCTACCTTGAAATTTTCCTCTACCGGATTAATTTGTCCATTTCCTTTAAATTTAGCCTTACAGAAAAATCTCAGGATGTGGGCAAAATGTTCTTTGCCAGGATGCTGCACAAATGGCCTCTAGTGTAATTCACAGTAGAATCATTATTCCCGTCTGAAACCTCCTGAGCACAGTCTTTACTGTTCATATACCATTTGGCATTCTGGTCCTCTGAGCTCCTACCAGAAACGCCATTTGAGCTCTGTTTATAATATTCTAAGGCTTCTCTATTCTGCATCTCCAAACTCTTCCAAAGTCCTTAAACCACTACCAAAGGCATATGAGCTACATGGTCAGGTTAGTCACAGAAATAGGACCCCATTTCTTGGTACCAATTTCTGTGTTAGTCAGCTTTTCATTGCTGTGACCAAAATACTGACAAGAAGAACTTAGAGGAGAAAAAGTTTATTTGCGATCATAGTTTTAGAGTCTTAATTCATGGTTGGCCAACTCCATTGCTCTGGGCTTGAAGTGAGGCCAAATATGGCAGAATAGGAAATCTGCTCAGCTTATGGCAGCCAGGAAGCAAAAAGAAAAAAAAGAAGGGGCCAGGGATAGATAAAGATCCCAAGGGCATACCCCCAGTGACCTACTTTATCCAGCCATGCTCCACCTGCCTAAAGTTACCACCTGGTAGTCTATTCAAATTATTAATCCATTAAATGGGTTAATCCACTGATAATGTTACCACTGTCATTATTGTCTGAAAGCCTGCCTCTGAACCTTTTTGTAATGGGGACCATGATTCCAAAACATGAGGGATATTTCTAATTATCCAATCTATAACACTGACCTTTAATTTTTTTTTAATAAAACATGAGTAAGCAACCAGATGTCCTGAGAATATTTTTATCTTTTTTCTATCATGAAAAACTACCCATTGGTTTCTTTTTTTTTTTTTTTTCTTTACCAGGCAATTTTTGTGTTTATATTCATATATGGCTTTTTTTCCTATATATAATCAATTCCATATATTTTATTTTTGTTTCCCTCATTTTTCCCTATCTATTCTTTGTAAACA